TGTTTTACTTCCGTAAAGGGAAGAACGTGCATCAAGCTTGTGAAAAGTTATGTAAAGTTTATGATGACAATGCTCTGCAAGAACGTCAGTGCCAATGATGGTTCATGAAATTCCGTGCTGGTGATTTTGATCTCAACAACGTTTCTCGGTCAGGGAGGCCCACCGAGGTTGATGACGACAAAATAAAGGTATTGGTCGAGTCAAATCCACGACATGAGAGATTGCAGAAACATTGAACATCCATCATTCAAGCGTTCACGACTACCCGAAGAAGCTGGGATACGTAAGCAAGCTCGATATTTGGGTTCCTTATGAACTCAAAGAAGTTTGTTTGACGGCGCGTATAAATATCTGCGATATGCTTAAACGTAAGGAAAACGATCCTTTTTTGAAGCGACTGATAATTGATGATGAGAAGTGGATTGTTTACAACAATGTGGTGCGCAAACGGTCTTGGTCTCGACGTGATGATTCGTCTCAAACGACATCAAAAACAAACATTTATCAGAGGAAGGTTAAGCTCTCAGTGTAATGGGATTTTAAAGGTGTCGTGTTTTTCGAGCTCCTATCAAGGAATTAAACAATCAATTCGAATGTGTACTGTTGGCAATTAAACAATTTGAACGAATCCTTCATCCAGAAACGTCCAGAGTTAAAGGAGTTGTATTCCATCACGACAACGTGAGACCATACACAAGTTTGACCCGTCAAAAATTATTGGAGCTTGAATGGGATATGCTGCTACACCCACCATATTCGCCTGACCTTACGCCGTCAAACTTCCGCTTGTTTCGCTCTCTTCAAAATTCCTTGCATGATATAACGTTTAATTCAGATGAGGCTGTAAATCAGCACTTTGTTCAGTTTTTCGGCGATAAAGACAGGTTCTTCTATGAACGAGGATTATGAAACTCACTGAAAGATGACAAAAAATTATTGAACAAAACGGACAATATATTATTGATTGATCTTTGTATTCTTTATATAAATAAATGATCTTTGAAAAACATAGAAAAAATACGTCATGATCGACTTTTCCGACAATCCAATATTAAATTATAGATGCATGCCTCATATGTCATCGGGTGAATCGCCAACTGTAAGAATGTTTAAGCGCGAGTTACGTATACGATTTGATTTGTTGTTACGGACATAAATTGATGCAGGAAAATATAAAGGACCATATATATAAAAAGCGTCGAGATCGATGATAAGATAGAGTATCGAAATTATAATGGAAAGGTTAAATGGGTTTTCGGTCACGTACAATAAAAACTCGGACTAGAACATTACATAATACGTTTAGACAATGGTAAAAATTTGAAGCGTCACATCAATCAAATTTAAACCCACATAGAACATAACTTCCAGTGAACATCCATTAAACCTCCATGGTTCCATTAAACTTCAATTAAACATTTATCTTCACAATGGAAGGTAGACGTCCATTAGAGGGCCAGCGAACCTCCATGGTGGATACTGCTCTAGGATTCTACCGTGGATGTCCACTAGCCGTCCAGCAAACCTCCATAGTGAGCGATCCTCAAGGATTCCGCTGTGAACGTCCATTAGCCTTCCAGAGAACCTTTATAGTGGATGGTCCCACACGGAACATGACATCCATTAGAGATCCACATAACCTTCACGGCCTCTATGCGACATCTATCTTTATAGTGAAAGTCAGATAAATCTCTAATGGAGACCTATACCTCCATAATGGACCTCTAATGGGACTCTACCAAACCTTTATTAGACATCTCATGGAGGATGTATGAATAAATTACAGATGTTTTATGAGACTTTCATGGATTATGGATTATATACAGAGTTTAATTGGAGATTTTAGATTCTTTCTAGATGATTATTTTATGATAAAAATTAAGAATATATACTTAAAAATAAATTAAAAATTTATTGCATATATTAGATGTACAAAAAAGTTCTGAGCTTTTTTTGTAAAATTCAATCTTTATTCAAAAACAAACAAAAAAATATTAATCAGCAAAATATTTCCCGTTTGCATCAAGGACCTTTTGCTATCTTTCGGGTAGCTTGCGAATTCCTTGACGATAGAAGCTCACCGGCTTCGAAGAGATAAAGTCATCAATACATTTTCGTATTTCTTCAAATCTCACGAAATGTGTATCAGCCAAATGATGCTGCAGCGACCGGAATAGGTAGTAATCGAAAGGCGCCATGTCTGGGCTATACGCCGCGTGCGGGAGAAGTCCCAGCCTAACGCAAAGATATGGTCCTGAGTCACTTTCGCAACATGTTGTCGAACATTGTCATGAAGTAAGATCACTTTACGACGTCCTTGGCCAGTAAATGGCCTCTTTTCTTCTAATGCATCGCTCAAATTGGTCAATTCTTGTTGGTAGCGGTCTGCCGTGATTGTTTCACCCGGTTGTAACAACTCGTAATACAACACACCTTTCCAATCCCATCAAATACAGATCCTATCACATACAAAACCTTCTTGGCGTGATATTGGGCTTTAACGTCGATGTCGAAGGTTGACCAGGGTCAACCCATGATTTTCTATGTTTAGGGTTATCATAAAGAATCCACTTTTCATCACTGTAATGATTTTGTGCAGAAAATCTTTTTTCCGGAACTTTCAAAGCAAAATGAGTGCAGTGTCACGCCGACGATTTTTGTTGTCTTCGGACAATTCATGCGGAAACCATCTGCCTTCCTTCTGAACCTTTCCCATCGTATGTAAACGTACGGAAATGGTTTGCTGCGTAACGCCAAGCTGTTCTGCAAGCTCCTTTTCAGTTTGCGCAGAGGTTTATATCCAGCAGTGCTTGCAATTCGTCCGTTTCAATCTTTTTGGCGTCCAGCACGCGGTTCATCTTCAAGATTGAAATCTCCTTGGCGAAATTTTTGATACTATTACATGTAATATGACTTACAGCGTTCTCTCCATATGCAGCACAAATCATTGCAGTGGCTTCAGCAGCATTTTTCTTCAGATGAAACGGATGAAGTGGATGGAAAATCGAATATGCTCTTTTGTTATTGCCATCGTGAACATTACTGATTTTTGAGGTTATGTGCATCAAACGCCAAACCGTATGGCATTTTAGAAGGCCAAATGTCAACGCTTTAAAACCGCAAAAGGGCGGGAAGATATATAAAATTTAAATTGTTATTTCGGTTGTATGAAATCTAAAGCTCAGAACTTTTTTGTACACTTAATATATTAAATTTGAATTCAACTCTTTTCCTATTTGTCTGTCACATAATTTATTATTATTAAAAGTTTTAATGCGAGGGCCCGGGCGCGTCAAGTTTTTGTACGCCATTTTTTTTACACATCAAATTTTCTTTTATATTTTATTTTTATATTAACACAAGTATAATAATTCAATAAAATTTTTTTGGCAACTACAAATTGACATTAATTTTGGATTGATAACATCTTTTTTCACCTTTGCAAAGTTTCTTTTCTATTTCATATAATTAAAAGTTTGTGCCAATTTTTGATATCATGTTTTTTTGTAGAAATAATGAAACGATTTTTCAAATAAAAATGAACTACAAAATAAAATGTAATTTCAATGTAAAGCTCTTTTTATTTTTTTATTAGAAGTTGACGCCAATTTTTCATTTCATATCTTTTGTACTAATATGAAATTTATTATTAAAAAGACTTTTGTAGATGGAAATTTTTGTATAAAATTCTTCCTTTTACATAAATAAAAAAATGGACACGTGAACTTAGCGTTATTTTTTATCTTTTTTAAAAGGTACAATATATAATGGATATAGAATTTCTTTTTATAAGCTTTTAAATTATTATTTGTAAACAATAAAATAACAAAAACGTATTTTTAGTAAGAATATGGGAAATACACTTCACTTTTGATTGCTTCGAGAATAAATTACGATCAAATGTCAAACTTCACTGATGAAGTGACGAATCACATGAAGTTTGACATTTCTCGTATTATTTGACTCCATTCCAACATTGCTCCTCGATTTGGAAAAAAAAAGGAAGAAAAAAATATTTAATTATTGGACGCAGATAAAGATGACCAAGAAAAAATGATTTGGTAATTTGAGAAATTCGTGTATTGTGCATTTGCGAGAAAATCAAATCGCGAATGTACACATACATAAAACTAAGAAATATAAATATAAAAATAAAAGAAAAAAATACTTTAAGAGAGGAGAAACATATAAAAAAAATAAAGCGTATAACTAATAACATTATTTGATTTACATTTTGTTTATTTTATTATATATTATATATTTTATTTGTCTATTTTATCTTATTTATATTTAAACTTATATGTAAAATATATATAAATTATTAAATACTTATTATTAAAAACTTAAACACGATGTTTTTCATTTAATTTATATATCCCACATAAATTAAAATTAAAATTAAAATTGAAATTGGCGCTTTGTATTTAGGCACACATCTGATTAGTTAAAATAGCAAGCGACCGCCATTATGCACAATGCTTCACCTTTATAAAGTGCATATCTTTATTCATTCCGAGTACTCATGATAATGACGTAACAGAAGTGTACTGTGCCTATCGTTCCGTTTTAGTTTCGTGCGCTTTCTAATTGTTTCAAGATTATAAAATGGAATGCAGTTGCAATGTGTTTTCAAACTCCAACTGAAAATGGTAGGCATATGTAATATTTAAAAAAATATAATTTTATTATATATATTAAATATAATATATATAAAATAATTAATAATAATAAAAAAATAAACAATAAATAATAAAAAATTAATAATATTAATATTAATAATAACAATAATAATAAAAAATTAATAATAATATTAATATTAATAATAACAATAATAAAATAATTAATAATAATAAATAATTTTATAATATTATATATTATAATAATTTTATTATATTATATTATTTCATATTATACACTTTATTTTCTTCAATCAAGATTATTCAGTCTCCATAGAAGCAGCCATCTTTGTGCTCTAATTGCTTTATCTCGCTGGTTGCAGTAGCCACAACAGGAAGTACGTCAAAATTAATGTCATAGAATTCAAGGCAGTACTTTCGGAGTGCTATTCTCTATATCGGAACGCTATTCGTAGTACTGACAATACTCGAAGTGAATAAAAGAACGCACCCCTAATTACACCATGGTGAAAACTATAGCAGTTGTCAATCTATAGTAACGTGTGTACGTGAAATTAAACTTATTTTACATAAGTAGATGACAAAATGCAAATATGGGCCGCAAAATACCGGGAAAAAAACATCGTGGTATCAAGGATTCTGAGAAGCAACGTGCTAAACGTTTTAGCTGAGTAAATTATTAAAATTAAAATTTAAGTAATCAAATATGAATAATTCTGAACTAAATGTATTTTAGGTTAGAGTCATATATGAACACACTGCCGAAAAATGTAGATGAACAAGCGATCCCGAAAAGTCTGAAGCGTTTGATTAAATTAAAGGAAGCTGCGAAAATTAGTAACGGTATTGTGAAAAGAAAACGAAAGAAAAGAAATGCGCTTATCTGTGTAGGTCAGCAACATTGTAAATCAAATCATCCAGAAACAAAATTAGAAAAAGCTACACCAGTATTTCAACAAAGACCAGGCGAATCTGGTAAACAATTCTTGTACCGGGTATCTAGAGATACACATGATTTTCTTAAGCAGATTGCATTTGAAAAGAAATATGGTATTCAAATTGAACGTGATTTTAACACTGGTGAAATTCGAGGTCTAATAAAATGCAAACGCGAAAAAAATGATATAAAAATATTAACAACTAATAAGAATATCAATAAGAAGAAAAAGAAGATAACTGAAAATTTTAAAAGTTTGACCAAAAATGAACAAAAGCTGAAACTATATATGAAGAAACAAAACAAATTGAAAAATCATGATGAGTTTGAAAGATTGCAAGACAAAGTTGCTTTTGATGAAATTGCCCATGAACCTCCTAAATTGAAAATCAAAAAGAAAATGAATGAGGATGTAAAACCGAAGGATTTATTGCTGAATTTATTCCTAAAAAGTTCCAAAGAAGTTTTTTCTACCAAAAACATTAATCAATCAAGAAAAAAGAAACATTTACCTGATGCAGAAAGAAGACAACTTGAGAAGCAACAGGCTGAAATTATTGCTATCTATAGACAATTGAAGTCTCAACGATTGGCTAATGGAAACTGCTAGGGTATGTTTAAAATATATAAAAATAATAAATTGTTTCAATGAAGTCTATTCAGTTTTTTCTTTTATTCCATTTATTTTACTTATTTTATATGCAAGTTGAATATAAGTTAAAATTCTTATAACATAGTTTAAAGTTTTTTGAAATTAGATATCCCAAAACTATTTTTTGAACTTTTTAATCAGTTTTTCTGGAAAGATACAAATTATACAAGTTTTCTTTGCTAAATGAATGATTTGAATTCATCATATTTCAATTTTACATATTTAAATACATTTAACCTGTAGTCCAAACAAAAGGCTCAAGTCTTTCTTCTATTGGTAAGAAATTGTTGAGTGTTTCAAGACTCTCAAGGGTTTGATTGAGAAGCGAATGGCATCTAGTTAATTGATGGCTGAGTTCATGCACTTTGTTCAATTGTTCTGTGAATTTGGTAAATTTTTTTTGCCGATCCACAGCAAAATTCAATATTTTACCAAATTCTATTTCCATATTAATACATAGAGTGGCCTGCTCTACTGCTATTATTTGTGCATTTGTATTCAGATGATGTTGATAACGCGCACACAAATTGAACAGACCAACAGGATCAAGCCTCTCCAAGACTTCTGGATCACGTACACCTGGTGGTAAATTCAACGTGCCGCGCATGATTGGTAGAAACATCGGGATGCTTTGTAGTTTCACTATATCAGGATCCTTATCTGTTGTAGGGTCTGTTTGAGCTGGTTTTACCACCACAATATTATGCGTCTTGTCCGATATATTAATTTTCCTGTGACTTTTAACAGAAGAAGTATGCAAATAAAACTAAAGAAATCAAGATCGATAAAATCTTACACGATAGAGTTGTATAAAATGTTTACTTCTTTACAAAAATTTAAAGGTATTAAAAAATAAGCTTACATAAGAATAGTTTGAAAAATATTATTTTCGACGATTATATTATTTATTTCATTAGAAATCTGAAAATTGTTAATTATTTAGATGCAATAATACCTATGATTTGTAGATCCCAAACTATTTTTACATCTTGAAATATCAGTAGTTCCAATACTTTTCCCTCTATAGAGCTGCGATTGTTTATTAGTCATCTTTGGTGAATCTCCAATGGGTCGATTCACTGTATAAGAAATATATGGAAGGTCAGAATCAGAACAAATACTGGCACCAGGACTGATACATCTTGGCGGAGTGTCTTCTGGCATTCTCTCACGATTTGGAACACTTTTGCCGCGTCTAAGTTGATTCGTCCTTGTTCTTCCACTACTGGTATTTTGGCTGCCACTTTGAGAGCTTTGTTCAGATCCCATTTTAGATTTCTATAACTCACAGAATTTCAAGAAAAGAATTATCTAAGTAAACGTCTATGTACTTCAAACAAGAATATTTTATATTTATATTAAATACTATAAGTTGTGTGTGTGTGTGTGTGTATGTATGTGTGTGTGCATATAGCATATTTTATAATATATGTACACAATATATCTATACAATATTTAACGTTTTTGTAAATTCCAAGTTTTACAATTTTTATAAGGTCTATCAGAATTGAGAAATCATTAAAAGATCTTATTGAAATACATAAATTTTAATATATATTTAATAAATTTAACAGCATATAATAAATTTCTAAGTTACTTTTGTAGCTTGTTTGATTCTGCAAAAAATATTGATAGCGTTTCTCCTAAGGATATTCATACCCATGATAGTGACAATAGAAATGTGCAAAAATATAAATGATCAGGATGTAATCGAAAACAATTTCGATTGCAAATGAACTGAAAACAAATAGGTTTTTGCTTACATGCTCCAGATCATTTATTTTTGAATTTAATAAGCGCCTTCTAATACTAGAATGTGCAAAATATATTTTAGGATATCTTTAATACCTGTTTTTTTATAGTTGAACTGAAATGGATGTGCATTTAAATTTTGATAAAAGCAGAAAATTCTAAGCATTTTGAAATTTTTGCAATCCAATCTAATAAAATAAAAACATCTAGTTTTTATTTCAACAATGTAATCAAATAATATCTTAATTAATGTTAATATAGTTTTGCAATTAATTTATGACATCTTAAATATGTATTTCAGGAAACTCTAATATAAAGATTCACTATAAATATCAGCTTTTATATTTTTCTTATAACTTTATGGTGTCATTAGATTTTAAAAGTTATATATATTATATAAAATTTCTATTTTATTTGTTGCTATTTAATATTCAGTTTTCATGTTCTTTATACTTATTGCTTATTTCAGTTATTTATTTCATATAATGATTGATTTTTGTTGTCAGAAACATTACTAAAACATCATTCAATGTCTTGATAACCAGTAACTATTTGATTATGTCAAAATTTAATTTAATTAAAGAATGATTAATTCCATTATTTTGTATAATACTAAACATACACGCACACGCACACACGCTAATAAAACTTAATTAAATTACACTAAGCAATTTTTTAATGTTAGGTATAAAAGTAGGTCACTCACATTCTACTTGCTATAAATGAAAAATATCTTTTCAAATGAAAAAAATAGAGATATTTGAAATAGAAAGTAGCCTAAGAAAAACTACGGCTGCTACTTCTTTTTTTTCTCTTTGGTCCAATGATGATCCAACAACGACCAAGCATACGGCTGCAATCTAATTTTGATCATGATGTAAGAAGACAAGCTACATTCCGATATTCACTGCTGAAAATATATAGTTCGGGTCACGTATATTGTAGATTTTCAGTACAGCAGTGAATGCAGCCAAGGTAAACCATTCCGCGGTTTGTGAGATTTGCGAACACGTGACAGTAAGCGTCGCCATAGTCTTGATTGGAAAAAGCACTAATTTCAAAAGATAATCATCGTAAAATTAGAAATATTAAAAGTAAAATATTAATATCTTAAAATTAAATATATACTATAATAAAATAACAAATATTTTAGTGATTCATTCTTCATTATATTTTACTATTTATGAAATATAATAAAAATAATAAAACATTTCAGAAATAAATTACATATATTTTATATTTTACATGCGTTAATATAAGATATAATATTAATATAAATATATAATACCATATATAAATTAATATGGTAATATATATATTACTATATGAAAATTTACATATGTAATTATACTATCAAATAGATAGAAATATTATAAAAATTTATTGCATTAATGCACAGAATTAAGCTGAAATAAAGCTGAAGATAATTTTTACCTTCTAATTCTACATTTACTGAAAAATTTAGTGTTGGAATTGCATGCAGTCAAAATCTATTTCTTAAATTGTTTAAGAACATTGATGGCATGAAATGTTTATTGCAAATTCTGTAATTTTTATATAATTTTAAAGGTGTGTCTATAAATCTATTATAAAATTTCAACCATAACTTAGCTCTAAAGAGAAAAATGTGAAAATTATTATTTTTTAATTAAGATGTTTAAAAATAAAATATAGATATAATAATTTTAATTACATGTATAGTAATAAACATATATATAATACACATAATGAAATATACATGATACATATACATAATGATATATATACGCGCGCACGCGCACGCATATAATATTAATAAATTCTACCTTTTAAGATCTTTTGGAAATTTGAAAAACTAATTCCCTTATTTCTAATTCTTATTTCTGTATTGTTCTTGCAACTTTTTACAGCGCAAGTATATCCATCCATTTTAATAATTTACGATACTTCTTCTCGATAGTTAGTAAACCGCCATATCAATCAAATTGTGGCCATATTGTGGATTGGATTTCTCGCGCATGCGTACTGGAATTTTATATCCTGGCATTTCGGTTACTGTCATAACTGATTAAACTGTGGTAGCATCTGTTTCTCGACCAATCAGAGTTTGCCCACAAATGATAAAAAACAATATGGCTTCTTCTACCTGTCAAAGAATGAATTGTTACCTTAACCTCGTAAAATATTATTGAATGTTTATAGATCAAAACTCAGAAAAAGTTGCAAAATTCAGAAAAGCATTTAGTAAATAGAAAAACATTTATTAGTAGATTTTATAGGTAAATTAGAAAGATATTAATTGACCATGAAACAAAAATAAAGCAACTGTAATAATTGTTAATATTTTTTTCTATTTTTTTTATTTACATTTATTTCAATTACACGATTTTAGAGAACTATTTTTTAACACTATGACCCAATCTTAATCTTTATATTCTCAAATATTGCTTTTGAAATTTTACTAAAATTTTACTAAAAATGTGTAGCATACGTAACGTTAACTTTTAATATGTTAATTTTTAGTAAAATTTTCCTCGAAAACAATGTTTTAAAACGTAGCTTTAAGGCCATATCAGACTAGCGGTTGCGCGGCTATGGTTGCCGGTTGATGATTCTATTTCAGCTAATCACAATGTAGCAAGTCCTGGTTATGGTCAATGTGATTGGTAATAGTAGAATCATCAACTGGCAACCGTAGCCGGGCAATCGCTAATCTAATATAGCCTATAGGCAGGACGCGGCCACTTGGCAACACAGTAGCCAATCACTATCTTGTTTTCTGATATGCAACAAAATTATAGATAGCGCCAATTGCCCACGTTGTCGATTGGCCAATTTAAAATAAAATTATTTGATTGGTTGATCCAGTAAAAAATCTCCAGGCTCTCATCGGTCGCTGTAAGTGGCTCTGTTCAATTGCAACGTGGTCAAACGGAAAGCTCCCCAAAGTTATATATTAGAAAACAAGACGGTGATTGGCTATCGCGTTGCTGCCCCAAATAGAACAAAAAGTCATAAAAATAGCATTATAATGTCAATTAAAAGTCATTTTGAGAAAACTCATAATGATCTCATTTGATATATTTTTTGTGACGGTTTTGTGATTAATTTTTGATGTTATATTTTGATGACTTTTAAATTATTTATTATATATATAATATAGTAAAAACAAGATATATTGTAAATTATATGATAAAAAAATTAAGGCAAAAAATTATTGTTAGTATCTTTATTTAATAGACAAAACGTTTTAATAGACAAAATATACTTCACGATATCTGATACAAACATGTCATAAAAATTGTTTTTAACAACATAAAATATACTTACATAATGAAATATATTACATAATGTAATAAAATAAATTTCTCAAAAGAAAAAGAAACTTTACTATTATAAATATCATTTACTATTATAAATATCCTAATAGCACTCGTCTATTTTGAGAACATTTCACGGAATATCATACAAGTATATTCGAAATATATATTCTCCGAACATTCGAAATACATACTGCGATATACTGTAGAATGTACTTAGAATATTACTACCGCTCACTAACCTAATTCTTAGTATATACTGGAGAATATCCCGCAGTATGACCATAGGATGAAAATGGAAGAACAATATATCATGTACGGCATGCATAAGGATATCTCAGACAGTCATATAGATCGTGAAAATCTATAATATACGTGACACTTCTTACAGAAAATAAGTGAAAAGAATGAAAAAAAATGAGAGAAAATAATGAAACATTTTTTATCTTGTATCATTGCATGTTTTTAAAACGGTTATCCATCCTACTTGGGATCCTACTCGATACTGCTTAATTTCTGTAATGAAATCTACAACTGAAATGATGATATAAGTGAACATGAAATTTTGACATAAAATATGATAGATCTGGTTAATGAATGTCACTATATTTGCCAATTTATTATCTTTATAATTATATTTAGTCTTAGTTGGAAAAGAGGAGAGAGGGCGTGTGCCACGACGGAGCTCGACCACGAACCAGTCGTAAAAATCCGAAATTATTTTGCGAAAAATATCATCTTAGCCAGGAATCGAATCTGGATCTCCTGTTTACCGGGCAGGCATTTTATCCTTTCAACTACAGATAACTAAATTAAACTTGCGATTTTGATATAAAAATATGACAGATCTTCGATTAGTAAATGTTATTATTGTCATATGATTTAAATAGTTTTAACATCAATATTCTGATTACGTATGCAGATAATTTGTAGATAATTTAATTATATATATAAAGTTGTAAAGGTTACATGTTATATGAATTTTTATTGTCATGTGTTATATTTTTTTATTGTCATGTTTTATGTGAGAAATATTTATAAATTTATATATTTTATTTGTTCGTTTATATATTTGTTGATCGTATTAAATACATGAGATATTTGTCTTGTTCGAAATACGTTTTTTATATTTGATATAATCATTTATACACAATTAAATAAGACATATGCAATAGTTAAAATTAAGAATATATATATTTATAAATAAATTTTTAATTATTTATTTATTTAATTTATAAGTATATATTCTTAATTTTTATCATAAAATAATCATTTAAACAGTCTAAAACCTCTAATTAAGCTCTATATATGAAAAGTTTCATAAAACATCCATAATTCATCCATACTCCATGAAACGTCTATATGGACATCTAATGGAGATCTAATATTCGCTTACAATCTTACGATTATCATTAAAATTTTTTCACGTGCAATGGCTTTAAGGAAATCAACGTTATGGATTTGCTACTACTTAGGCCTGTTCTACAATGCGTCATGTGTCGGTGTGTGGATCGTAGGCCGTAAGAATGGGTCAATCACAATCAAGTATTCTCTCCACATTCGACTGTGATTGGTCATTCAATTCTTGTGGCTTGCGGCTTGCAACACTGACATATGACGCATTGTAAAACAAACCTTATGTTACTTAACCTTACGTTCTTGACTGTGATTGGCTTACTGCTTAAGTTTTTTGCTTCAGTTTTTCGCAATTCGCTTACTGCTTAAGTCTTATTGCTTCAATTTTTTTATGTGCCACGGTTCTGATTTTCTCTAATTCCGAAGCACATATTTATTAATTCCCTAGATTTCCGTCTTTCCGCTATGAAGATACATGACGAAAAAGTTCACATGAAGAGTTCACGAAAAATTTCACATTTTCACGTTTGAGAGAGTTACTTGATCCCGCGAAATCGCAAATTCACATGATCGTAAATTCACATGAAACATTTCACTTTTCACGTTTCCGCCCTAGAGGGAAAGTTACATGATCGACCCCCAGTTCAGCCAAAAAGAACAGGCCTATTATTCATTATAAACAACAATGGCGTGGTCGAATTATCGACGTGCCTTAGCTATACTTCAAATAATTACGGGATCATTTAATACTTTATCAGTTAAGTGAGTATTATGCTATTGTAGTACGAAAATTAAATATATATAACAGTAATATATAAATATGTGTGTGTGTGTGTGTGTGTGAATGATGAGTGTGATTGGTGGTGTGGTTGTGTGGTGTGGTTGTGTGGTGTGGTGTGGGTAGTGGTGCGCGCGTGGTGTGTGTGATATATAAAATTTATATACATACATCAATTATAAGTTAAGTAATAAAGTTAAAAATTAATAACTCTTAATTTAATTAAATGATATAATTTTTAATTAAATTATTTTCAACTAGTAACTTTTTAATCATTTCCTATTGTACAGGGAATGTAAGGAATTTCAGTGGATGGATTTTACATATGGTGACATAAATCAGAAAGATAATTTTAATTTATATATTTTTTTATTTATTGTATGGTATAAGGATTATGTACATACATTAACTTACATCATAACAAAAGGTGTTTGAATTGGAATTAAACTATTATGTTCAGTATAAACATTGTATTATTACTAAATGAAGTTCGGATGCATTTGTTTATATATTCCAAGTATTTCACAATTCACATCAGATGCAATAATCTATGATAATCAATGATGATATGAAAATACTGTGAAAAATCTTTGCAATCTTTGAAAGAACATATATTGGTTATAATATGAGTTGACAGCCAGTTGAGAAGTCACTTGTAACATCATAATCACTACAATTACTGTTTTTAGTAATGGACTAGAAAACAAGATTACTTTTTCTCTATTGTGATATAATGATCGTATAATCATATTGTAAGTTACTGTGATTATACAGATTCACAAGTGTCACAAGTAGTAATAACAGTTAAATTTTTGCAATAATATAATGAATAATGAATTTAATAGTATTTTTATATTGCTACTGTCTAAGATGTATAATTTTGGAATTATATATCAATGGTCATGCCTTATCTCACTATTTTATTTTTCATTTTTTATAGTGTTTTTGTAGTTGAGATGTTTACAAGGATGAGACAAGTATAAAAACTTTAGAAATTTAAATATGTGTCGTTCAATGTATGCTATTCATTCTTTAAAAGTATATTATTACTTATATTATTACTTTTGTATAAAATATTCTTATAAAAATAATATGTATATATGCATACTTAGAACATATATATACAAAATTGACTTTTATTATGTTTTATTTATATATATATATATATATAATATATTAATTTATATATATATAATATATTATTTTATATATATTTATTATATATATTTATCTTTTATAATTATGTATATCAAGAATAGTAATATAATAAATACTGTTAAACAATGAATATAATGCAGGATGCTATCAGAGATATATCAAAAACTTTTAACAGCTTCAAACTAATCTCGACTTTGGAATCAAACATCTCACATTATGAGATAATATCTATAAAATGAAGAATAGAAAAATTAATAGACATAAATATCAATCCATATCATGTACTAAATATCAATCCATTCCAAATACTAAATACACACGTGTCGCGCACACACGCGCACGCACACACGCGCACGCATACACGCACACGCGCGCAAACACACACGCACACAGGCTTCTGTAAAGCGCATTTATCTATAGTTATCTATAATTCATGTCACGTATATCATAACAAAATACGCGCATATGCGCTTACGAAACTCAACCATATGCACACACACACACACACACACACGCACGCACGCACGCACGCACGCACACAGTTTTTCACAATTGCGCGCGCACGTGTGTGCGTGTGTACATACACAAATGGATTTCTGATATTCAAATTACACTTCACAAATTTTACTCGATTGACGATCAGCTATTTTAGAGAAAATTTTTTAAATTATAATTAATAAATTATAATTAACAAATAGTTATAATTAAATATTATAATTAAATAGGAATATATAATGAATTAAATTATTAAATGTTATTATTATAACTTATGCATATATAGCACATGTACACACAGGCGCATGCCCTCTACACATACACACGCTTGCGCGGAAAACTTTTCTATTCGGTTTAACACACTTTGAGTACTGAAAATATATAATTCAGGTCATGTATATTATAGATTTTCAGTACTTGCAGTGAATATTGGAATACACGATATTCGAACGTCCTTTTTCCCCGCATAAATTTTTGTACTGCATCACGCTTTTTCGATTTTTGGTCACGCATTTGTCATCGTTCTCTCAATTATATTTTTCGAATTGAATCGTGGCCTATATTGGCACCGTATGGCAGCGTTGGCCAAATATAAGGAATAAGAAGATGTGTGCATGTGCGTGTGTAAAAAACTTAATTAGTTATATAAATTAATTAGTTATATAATTAGAAATTGATTTTAAATTGATTAATCTATTTTATAGATATTAGAACTTGATTTTAAATTTATTCAGATATGCAGATCAACAAGTAGTACTTAGTGAAGATGGACAACTTAGGCATTTTAATCATCCTTTTATGCAATCGTCATTTATGTTTTTTGGAGAAGCTCTTTGTTTTATAGCATTTAAAATTTTCTACTATTATTATAATCGACGAGACGTAGGTATTTATAATTTTTGTTCTCTGAGAATAAATGAAGTTACATTATTTAGTATATTAATTTGTTTACAGGATGGCTCTGTAGATAATAATGTACTGACTAAAGGTTCAAGACTTTTCAATCCTTTTATTTTGCTAATACCTGCGTTATGTGATATGTTTGCAACATCTATAATGTATATTGGCCTAAATATGACTTATGCAAGTAGCTTCCAAATGTTACGTGGGTCAGTAATTATTTTTACAGGAATGCTTTCTGTTGGATTTCTTAAAAGAAAATTGAAAGTAAGGGAATGGATCGGTATTGGTTTTGTTATAACAGGATTAGCATTTGTTGGTGTTAGCGATATATTAACAATAGAAGACAATAATATCAGTGTAAATTCTGTAATCACTGGTGACTTGCTTATTATATTTGCTCAGGTATATTTTTATTATTATGATTTGTTATTGTATAAAATTAGTGAACTATATCATAATTATCACTTAATTACACTTACCTGATAATATTTGAGCATATACTAATATATATATATATATATATATATATATACTTAATTAAAAATTGATTTCTAAATATATAAGGTAATAACAGCTGTTCAAATGGTTGTTGAAGAGAAATATGTTGGACAACAAGATATTCCTGCCCTACAAGCAATTGGATGGGAAGGTTAATATGTGTTCTTAATTATTTTATATAAAATTTGTTCATAACATTTTTTTAATTGTTTTAAAAATCATTATTTTTGTTTATTACAATATGTATTTTTGCAGGCATTTTTGGATTTGTAAGTATTTCTATCGCTATAATTCCTCTCAATTATATTACTGTACCACCGCCTTTTGCGGATAATTCACGTGGTACACTCGAAGCCACTAAAGAAGCCTTCATCCAAATAGGAAACAATAATAAATTACTGATAGCTGTTATCGGTCAGTATATCATTTTTCTTTTTATCTTTTATCTAACAATTTTCAATTTTTATCACAGATTGTTATTTGGAATTGTAGGTATATCATTTAGTATTGCTTTCTTTAATTTTGCTGGTATTAGCATTACTAAAGAAATGAGCTCTACAACAAGAATGATTTTAGATAGCATTCGTACAATTATAATATGGATCTTTTGTTTAGCGTTTCAATGGCAAGTCTTTCATTATATGCAGGTATGGTTAAAAAAAAACAATTATTTCTTAATTGCATACAATTATATATTTGATTTTATGCTTTATATTTTATTAAGAATTATAGAAAATTGCATTGAAGTTTGAGAATATGTTATTGGAACTGTGGAAATTTACTTGTCACCCAGATTTAACATGAATAATATATAATAGAAAAGTATTTTCATATTTTATTTTTCATTACAGCTCATTGGTTTCATGATTCTTCTAATTGGCATGGCGTGTTATAATAATATTGGCATTCCCCAATTAATTCGAAAATATCAGCAGCATTTGATGCGCTATACATTAGCTGAAGAAGAAGATCGTATTATTAATACTGCTGCGGATGATGTGCAAGAAACAATATAAATGGCTGTATTCAAAACCATTTAGGCTATATTCTAAGCTGCAATTAATACTTATGTTATTTTTAATTGAGATTATTACTTCAACAAAGAAGATAGAGAATATAATTTTTCTTCTAACAAATAAGATCTGTGATTTTATAATCTAAAATGATCGCAATTCCTTATCTATATCTTTCTAGAATCTAGAACCTATTCTTTCTTATCATTAGTAATATTTTAAAAATTACACTTTAATTTTATTTTTTATTACTATATAAATTCAAATTAAAAATATAAGGAATTAATTATATATTCATGCTTTAAATAAATAAGTATACCTTTTTAATTGAAAATTTGAACAAAGCAATATATATTATAAATGATACAATATATATTTATATATATGAAAAAGAGAGTAAGGAGGGGAAAAAAAAGAAAAAAGAGGCATGTGCAATCATACAACAATATATCTAGGAAGATGTATTGAATATAGAACCTGGATGTATTACATCGAAACCTTTGAATATCTCAAATATAGAGAAACACATTTCAACCAAAATTATAGAGTTTCAAAAGTGTCATATGATTATGATTGATTATGATATTGATTATTCATAAATGTCGGAACTATTGATATTTTACAAATCTTATTTTTTAAATAAAATCAATTTTATATGTAACACAATTTCTAGTTATTCTAAATATAAAGTACATATTAAAATTATTAAAAAGTCAATAATTTATAAGTATTTTATATATTTATATTATATATATATATTTTATATTTCATTTTGGCATGAAATGTCAAATCTATCTTTGACATGAAATGTGAAATATATCTTAAATTATTCATTTTTCATAATTGCATCGTGATATTTTTATGATCAAAATAATTAAATGAATCAATTAATGTAAAAAAAAGTATAGTTGCGCGCGTAATATACTATAATATAGTATTTCGAAATTCGTGAATCAAAAGTATGTTATCAATTTCTAAATAAATGAAATATTTGCGTTTTTTAAAAATAGTTTTCTTTCTTAAATACTTCTTAAATACTTAAAATCATATTTCTAGATAAATTCTTAATCATTTTGCTTAGAAATATTATACATCTTCAGCGAATTTAATATATAATTAAAATATCAACTACGTTCTAGCATTTATTAGAAATCTAATAAATAAAATTTATTGAAAGAAATTGCAAAAAGTTCACTTTTTATTAAATATTAAGCCATTTAGTAATAAATACTATAATTGATATTACGTCCAGTCCAGAGAAAATTGAGCAATTAAGAATTAAAATGAACGGAGTGAAGAGAAAGGTGTTGTTGCCGATTCTAGTATAGAATGAGGCTGCCAAATCTGCAGAGACTATGAAGCGACTGCTCGCTGTAAAGTGAGGGAGACAGGAAAGAATCAGAGCAATCGACCACATTCCACTACAATTTTCAGGTTCGACCATCGCCAGCAACGACTCGCTGAATTCTGACTCAATCAGTCCTGTGATGCTAATTTCAAGACGAGAGTCAGGAAATGGGAATGTCGCACACAAGGAGAAAGCATGTTCGTGAGAGTTCGGAAGTTTGGCCGGCGTCGGGTAATAGACTAGCAAACCTAGTCCTGACTCTCTCGCTCTTTATTCTCATAACTAGCCTCTTCGTTCGGCGATTCTGACTTCTGACTATCAAAACAATCGCGCTTTACGATATAGGCTACATTCACTTTAGCGCTTACAGTTGTAAGCATTATATCAATAACATTGACATACAATGTTCGTTATATTAAAAAAAAATGGAAATTATATCTGATATTAGAAAGAATTATATTTGTAATTAGAAAATAATAAAGAATAGATATAATAGAAGATAGAAAAATTAGAAAAATAAATTTTATTATATTTTTTTCTATTTTTGTATTTTTTATATTTAATTTTATTTTTTATTACATTTTTTACACATTTATCTTTGTAACAAGTGTAATATGTGCACATTAAAACAAGATAAAGTCTTGTGCAGATGCGATGTTCTTTATGGATATTGTATATTATTTATTTAAACTTATTGTTATTATTTACTATTATTATTATTATTTATTTAACTTAATGCTTTAATGCATTTTTGATGAAACACAAGCAATTATTCTTTTTGCATATTATTGTTACATATTAGATGATTACATATTAGATTATTGTTACATATTATTGTTACATATTAGATGAAGATGGATCAGCAATCGTCTGCAGCATGTAACTGAAAAATTTTTTTGCTTTACCGAAGAAATAACATAATTTATCTGTCGACATAAAAGATAAATGCTTTTTATCGAGCTTCATGTTTAAAGCAGTTTCGTTTCTTGTTTTTAATGCTGACTTTAATACACAAACATTTACAGTAGACATTTACAGTAGACATTTAGTAGTCGACGATAATCTGTTTCATTTTTTTGTTTTAACATCTGTTAAGAGGAAAAAATATTCTTTCCGGAGCTGCATTTGAATTTGGGAGTGCTCTAATAGAATTCAAGAGGGATCTTAAATTGGGATATTTGGTTTCATTATTCAAATATTGTCTTTGTAAAATCTCCTTTCACATATTATTAAAATTTAATTTTAACAAATCTTGTTTCTCTGTTACTGAAAAATCTGAATTTAAGACAAATCATTCTTTCTTTAAATCGTTTTCGTTAAAATCACCCATTCTTGCAGCAATAAAAGAAAGATCATGAAATGATGTTTCCCTATCAGTACTCAATAAAGCTGTATGTGGTAAAAGAATTTGTAATTTTGATAAAAATGTATCATTTACTGGTAATCTTTTGAAAATTTTTTCGGCTGCAATTATGTAAAATCGCAAACAGTTCTCTCGAACAGTTGCAACCATGTTTGGGTGTCCATCCTCTATCAATTGATGAAGATATTCTTTGCACTCCGATCCTAAAAAATATCATTTAAAGATTTATGATTTTCTGTCTTACAAAATGATAATGAAATGTAATATATAAAAATACGGAACCTTTCTGATTACAATACCGATTCTGTTGTACCTTACATTCAATTGTACTTTATCATGATTTATTATATTACATGTCAAATATACTCGCAAACAAAAATATGTTTTACGTAACAGGTTTTACACATATATTTGCTTTTATTTCTTATATTTGCAACAAGTCAATCTTACATTCAATCATAATCGCAGTATTCATTAATAATATAGAATCTGGAGTAATTATTAATATTGAATATCGAAACTTTTTGTACTTTTCTCATCCTCCTTCTCCTTCCCTCCCTCAGATGACATGGTCATCAGATGACATGGTCACTCCCATAACCCACCTCCTGACAGATTGTTTAACAATGACTCATGTTATAACATTATTCCAAGTTACGCTGTTGATTAGAGCGGACGGAATAGAAAAAGAGTCGTCTACGTAGTGAGTATGGATTGTCAATAAAAGTAATAGTTGTAATAAGTTTAGCTTTAGAATAGTTCAGTATAATTAGTCAGTGTAGTTAATTAGCAATTGGCTACCTCTGTTTATTGGCTACCTCTATTTAATCGGTAAGTTTTACATTTTTGGTTTTGCTATATTTCCACTTTGATATGGAATCGTGCGATGCATTGAAAAAGAAAGTAAAACGAAGCTTCTTAGAAGCTTGGCTTAATGATGAGCGATTTAAATTTTGGATATAAAAAGTACCTTTTGATGATAGTCTTTTTCATTGTATCGTATGCGTTAAAAATTTTTCGTGTGGTCCAATATCGAATATTATAAGACATGCAGAATCTGCGCAACATAAAAGAAATATTGACAAAGATGTATCATCTGATAATGATAACGTAACTTTTGAACAAAAACCATTGTCTCCGAATATATTTAAGCAACAATGGTTAGAGATCGAGCAATTTAAGCCGGCTACGCGAAGTGCAATGTGATGCAAATTTATTTGCATCATGTACGATTTGCGAAAAAACTATTATTGGCGGTTTATCGCAAATCTACCGTCACGCCGAATCTAAAATACATAAGAATAATTGTCAAAAGTTTGAAATAACAAGAAAATCGAATGAAGACTATAACATAGAAATTAGCGAACTGTTTTCGTCCTTTGAGAAACGGAAAAAAATTCGCGGAGATTCGATTTGCTATTTTAATCACTGAAAAAAATATTTCGTACGAAAATGCAAAAATAATACTCGATTTTTTAAAAGATGTAGGCAAAGATCCTAACGTTTTGAAAAGCATGACTATGAGTCGACAAAAATGTACGAATATAATTATGAACGTTTTATGTCTAGTTGAGACGGATCGTGTGATAGAAAATATTCAAAATACAAAATTTTCTATTTTTATAGATGAATCAACAGATATTTCTAGTGAAAAATGGATGACATTTCACGTTTGATACGTTCATATTGAAACATTAGAAGTTCATTCGCAACTAGTAAAATTAATTGATATCGATGCAACAGATTGCAGCGCGGAAAAATTGTTTAATGCATTTAAATATGAAATGTGGAAACTACAAATATCTTTTTCAAATATTGTTGCCTTGTCATGCGACAATGTGTCCGTTATGGTCGGAAAACATTTATCTTTCAAGAAAAAATTGGAAAAGATGTGCAATAATATATTGACATTATTATGTCCATGCCATTCTGCTTCATTAGCTTCACATGCCGCGTATGCTAAGATACCACAAGCTTGTGAGGAATTCTTGAAAAGAATTACAAGTTATATAACTTGTAGTCGCAAGCAATGGTCTATTTTCACGAATTAAGTGAATGTTTTGAAGAAAGGATTCACAAAACTGTAAATGTAATATACAGTGGCTTTCTTACCACGCGTGCATCGACAGACTTCTTCAATCTTGGAATACGATACAACATTTTTTGAATGAAATGATCGTGAGCCAAAAAGGTACATCTGCAGAAAATTTGTTGCGTGTCATGCAGAATGTACATACAAAAGCATATTTGTTATTCTTAAAAAGCATATTTGCTATTTTTAAAATATACATTACATTTTTTAAATGTATTTAATGCATTTTTCCAAACTGAAGAAACGAGGATACATTTATAGTCAAAAGTTATAGTCAAAATCAATTGATTTTTTAAAAGAAATTTGTACAAATTTTATAAAAT